TCAATTCTGTCGTTGCGCGCTGTTTCAGAGGCGGTTTTATGTGTGCGCGCTTTGGGTGTGGCCGCACTGAAAACAGTCTATAAGACTACTGTATAGGGTTGAATTTCACATCTTTTTGCGCTTGAAGTGCTTAAAGTCGCTTGAATGTTTAAATTGGCAAGACTTAAAAGCACGTATAAATGATACATTCCGTCATCTGTCATCGCGTTATAAGCGCGGAACCTGCAGGAATAAGTAGAATTATACACAATCCCACGCCGAAATTCAAACCCTGCTTCTGTCTCCTCCGCTAATTCCTTGACTGTGAATGATGTGAGTGGCGTCACTGAGAAGCTGCAGCCATGGCGGGGATGATTTTTGGTGTGGCGGCCCGCCATGGCAGAATGAATGTAGTGGAAACACTGGAATATACTAAAAAGCGGAGGGAATGTCAAGTATTATTTTGCTAAAAAAAAAAAACATTTAGTGAAAAAATTTGAGATATTGAGATCAATTGTTTTGCAGTTCTTTTCTAAAAACACTTCCTGTGCTGACACTATGGAATGCCACTAAGCAGCTTCATGCAAAATCACATTCCTATTTACTGTACGTCATTACTTCCAACAGTTGTCAAAGGGAATATCACACACATCACTCTCAAGATGGGATGGTTAAACATAGAAGTCACATTTCAAGGACAGCTTCAGGCCACCACCCAGCAGATGGCTTTGAGCAGCACGACTCTTTAACCATTCACAGAAGGGGACTGACACATTTTTGCCTTCAAAATCAGAAGTAGTTATTCACACTCATGTAGTTCCAAACCGGTATGACTTTGTTTTGTGTGCAAAATACCAGAGATAGATTTTAAGTAATGTTTTACCTATTTTTATCTATACAGTGGAAGTCACTGCGGTCCAAAACAACCCCATTGAATTTCATTGAATGGATAAAACAAAAAGACATATTTTAAATGTGCTCACATGAGGAATAAACAGGGTTTCTGCAGGTTTTAGGAAGGTAAATTTAAGACTTTTTAAGACAGAGTAAAGAAAATGTAAGGAAAATTCAAAGGAACACATTATCAGTATGGTCTCTAAATGTAAATGTTTTGTATTAGCAACGCTTCAAAGTTTGGAAGTACAACTTCCAAAAGATCTCCAATAGATTATTTTTTAATTCATTTTACAAAAAAAGGTTTCTTCTTCAGTATTTTTTGTTTTGTTTTCCAGTCAATATGCATTTACTTGAAGCAAAATGACATAAAATAAGAAGTCCTGTTTTAGGAGAAATTTCTAAAAATTTAAATGAGTTTATGATTAACTTAATTCAATAGGAAAACAAGTTTTCACACCCACTGACATTATATATATATCACACCGTATATATACATAATTTTTTTTTTTTTTCATATTTTAATATATTTTTATGTATAAACTCACTTAATTTTGTTCAATTTCTCAGAAGACTTCATATGTTCAATCTGCATCTTAAATAAATGTATCGTGATTTAAGGATGTTTAGATATTTGTACTGGGAAACAAAACATACAGAGGAACATATTAATTTTTTATGAGGAAGAAATAAATTTTGTATGCAACATTTAATGCCACAACTGGCAGCTGCTTTCTGCTCTGATTTAGGAACTTTTTAGGCCTTATTTGTGGAAGGGCAAATATTAAGAAATCCTGAATAAGCCATAGATGTTTGAAATTACATGAAGGTGAGTAAATGATGATGACAATTTTCACTTTAAGCTGAACACATCAGTTGCCCTTGAAAAATCTCTATAATCAGTTGTGTATCTATTACATTTAAACTAGCCGCCTGCACCTCTTGATGAGAGAGTCATTATTATTTAAGCTGGTGCCCGCCATGGTGTGCCCGGTGTGCCAGGAATGACGCCGAGAGTCCAGCTGTGAGACGGCCGCCTGGATGCTTGTGTCCTACCTCCATATTTAAGATGGGCAGCGCGCCACCTGGGCATCTTCAGCTGGCAGAAGCAGAAGGAGGAGGGCACGACAGCTGATGACAGGCATAAAATGAACAGCGATTATCCAGACAGAGTGATTTCAGCTCTGCACCGGGGGAAGAAAGGCTGCATACCCCGGCTGTCAGTGTCAGCACGAGCCAGACTATAATCTCCCTGTTCAGCACTTGGCTGCGTCTGGGACAGAACATTACATGCAGGCTTGAAACATATCATCAAACTCTCAGCAGTAGCTTTACACAGTGGGGTCTGGGAAGACAGGAGCACTACTGGAGCTTAAGGATGCAATGAAATCAAGAAGAGGAACATTCTGTTTAAAACTTTGAAATAAAACTATTTACAGTCACATTCACAGCTGCAAAAAAAATGACAAAATCCGATCTGTTTGCACAACGTCATGTGTCAGGACAAAGATATGCTGTGCATGTCTTCCAAAGGCAGACTGACAAGATTGAACGGCTGCATAGTTTGAGAAACTATATCTTATGCATTTTTTCTGATAAAAACTGTGATTATGATTCAAAATGCGATAAAAAAAAAAACAGGTTTGCTGTGCTTGTTTGTATTTTTTTGTGATTATTATCACTAAAAAAAATTATAATTACTAAAAAAACAATACAAAAAATAATAATAATAATAAAATGAAATAAAATAAAAAATATACTATTGTAATATTTTGCAGTACAATCAAATTAAAATCAAGAAAAAAATAATATAATATAATTTTATATTAAATTGCAACTGTTAAAGTTCAAAATTAATATTTATGGCTGTTTTCGTTCATTTTCAAATGTTAAATTACTAAACTTACAGTACTAAAATAACTTTTAGTGCATTTATTTATTTAATTAAATCACAGCCTTTGTGATTTGATAATCGCATAAAATCATATAACCATATTTCGGTTTTATTTCGATTAATTATTCAGCTCTACATGATCATTAGAAGATATCTATCCTGGAAGCAGCCAGTCATAATGCAATATTGCCCTAAGAAATTCTGCATCCTGAGAGTCTTAGGCTGCCACAGCACTAATGCATCTGCTGGAATTAACCGCGGTCTGTGATTAACTCCATAAGGAAGCCCCTGGCAGACTTCATTATTCTAATGGGTCATTTCAGATCCTAATCAGTGGCTAGTAGGGCTGCACAATGAATCTAATTTCTAATCGCGATTACAATTATGGATGCCACAATTACGTAATCGTTCAAAGCGGCAATTAATCGTTCAAAGTCCACTTATGTTATTCTGTGTGCTTAATATGTTTTTTTCTTTCTACATGTTATCTTAAGGGTTTTTCCATTGTTTTAATTTTAGTTTTAGTATAACATTATAATACCATTCATATTTTTACTTTTTTATAATTTAAAGAAGAAACCAATCCGATGTATATTTGACATTTGAGGCTTAATACTATAGAAAAGCACTAAAGGTTTTTCAGTTAGAGTGTTTTCAGCTTGTTTATTTTCATATAAAAATACGGCATGCAGTTGCATCAAACAATGGTATAAACATCATTCAATGTAAATTGTGATAATCGTAATTAATAATCGCAATTACAATTTCAAGGGAATAATCGACAATTATGATTTTTAATCATGCAGCCCTAGTGGCTAGTCCTAAAAACTGAAATACAAATGCATAAATGTATTTCTATTATCAACAGAAACCATCCATATATTTAGGTAAACCCTAATTCAAAGAATCAAACAGTGTTTGATAGATGAAGGACTGTTCCATGATCTAGACACACTGTATATGGATACAGCCAGAAAAGAATGCTCATTGTGGGGGAAAAAAACTTGGTCACCATAGTTAATTACAAATTCATTTCTATGGGGAAAATAAGGAGAAATATATATCTGACAATTTTTTTTATTTTTTATAAATGACTCCACAAAGTCCAGCATATAAAATAAAAGACTGCTGTGAATTCAGCAATAATGATGTAAGACAAATATGGAATCTCACATTTGAACATATGCGTGTCTGCAACAGACTTTACTTCCTGTGTTTTAAACAAATAAATAGTAAAAGTAAACAAGTAAATAAAATTGTAAAATACTAAAATAGCAAATCCCAGAAAATGACTTAATTTAACTTAAACAGAGAAGAACTACACTTTATGATTTTTTTTTAATTACTCCAAGTTATGATGTATTGTTCAGATACCGTTCAATTTAGGGTCAGTAAGGTATTTTTTGAAAGGAATTACTTTAATTCAGCAAGGATGCATTAAATTAATTAAAAGTAACTATAAAGACATTGATAATGTTACAAAATGTTTCTATTTTAAATGAATGCTGTTCTTTTGAACTTTCTATTCATCAAAGAATCCTAAAAAATGTATGATGGTTTCCAAAAAAATATTAAGCAGCACTGTTCAAACCTGTTCAAACTGTTTTCAACATTGATGATAATAAGAAATATTATTTGAGCACTAAATCAGCATTAGAATGATTTCTGAAGGATCATGTGAAACTGAAAATTCAGCTTTGCGGTCACAGGAATAAATTACATTATCTAAACAGAAAACTGTTATTCAAAATTGTACATTTAATATCACAGTTTTTACTGTATTTTTGATTAAATAAATGCAGCCTTGGTCAGCATAAAAGACTTCTTATTAAAAAAATCTTACTGACCCCAAACTTTTGAATGGTAGTGTGTTGTTGTTGGTGAAATGCTCATTTTCAAAGCAGATTTATTTTAAATTTAAGACTCATTAATTATTATTATTTTTTTTTTTAGATTTGTCCTGTTTTGTTGAAGTTATTAACAGTGCATCTTTCTCAATAGAAACATTTTTGAGTTAATTTACTTATTTCAAAGCTTCTTCAGATGCTGCTTTCAAAAACTGACCAAATGAACTTCTCTCAGAAGATACTACATAATTATTGAATTGTACATGTCTTAATGCCTTCCTATCCCTGAATGGCATTTTTCAGCATTTGGACACAGCCAATGACATAGATGAAAATGAAGTGTTTGGATTAGTTTAAAAAAAAAAGAACAGGTGGGCGTGACTTACCACCACTGAGCAGCTTCATGACCAACCACAGCTCATCCTTCACCACGAACGAGGTGTAGTACGACACAATGTTGGGATGGTGACACTGGCTCATCCCCTGAATCTCTTTCTAGAGAAAAAAAAAAAAAAAAAAAGAGACGATCACTCTTCATTGACAGTAACCCGATTTAACCAATATCCTTTCTAAATGATTCAGAGTGTGCAATAATTGGACAAAACAATAATTTGCTTCCGTCAGGGAATTACACTCAGGAATCAGCACATGTGCTGGTCATAGACTAAAGCAGCTCTCTGTGTATACAGTCATATAGTATCCGCATCCAGAATGCACTGGGCCTCATGGCGAATAACTGTGGTGCCTCACAATGGTGCCATTCCAGATCTGGATTAATGTTTAAACAAGTCTGGCTCAGTTGGAGAGTTGGCAGATCTTCAGAATCAGTGCAGATATTTACATACTTCAGGTGAAATAGTAGTTTTTATTAGCTCACTCGTATAAGAAGCACCTCCAGTCCCTTCCACTGACCGCAAAGCACGTACAAACATTAAAAATAAACAACATCCATCCAAGCATGCTGTAAACACCATGACACCTTCATCAGACTGCCTTACAGCCTGTTCCAAATAACCAAGGAATCCAAATAAATAGATGTATATGTTACTGTCAATATCCAGAAAAACGCCGCTGCTAGATATATTTTTCAGCATTCGTAAAACAAAAGGAAAAACAAGCCGTTTTCTTCTCCATCCCGATTAGTTGCTAGTCTTTCTAGTTGATGGAGCAGTTGAAGTGAAACACTTGCAGCTCGGAGAGATTGACAACTGAGGTAATGTTGGGACTGCGGCCGAATCCATCCCTCTGAGCTTTCCCCAACTCATTTGATGGTGGGGGCTTACTAATGATATTACAAAGCAATTCTGCCATTTCTATTTGGCTGTCAGGCCGACTTGTTCAATTTGTTACATGCAATGCAAAGCAATCAATAAGAGAAACTAAAAACACTGCAGGGTTAATGCTAATGAATGGCCACATGACTTTATACCTTCACAATGCTGAAGCTTCATACCATCTTGTGGTGTTTTGTTAAAATTAAAATGAATGGGGACCAGAGCTTTAAAGAGGACACAAAAGCACCATAAAAGTGGCCATTTATTGCTGTTATATGGAAAAATTTGGTTTTTTTTTAAATAATAAAAAAATTGTAAACAAAATAAAAAATAGCTTCAGAACATATGCAAGAGCACTATAAAAGCGACCATTCATTGCAGTCACATGGAAAAGAGTAACTTACTTTAAATAAGAAATGTATTTTGATGTTTTTTCTTTTTTTTAAATATATATTTAAAACAAAACCAAATAAAATAGCTTCAAAAAAGATGCAAAGGCACAATAAAAGTACCTATGTAATGCAGTTACAGTGGGTATAGAAAAGAATCACCCCCTTTAAAAATCACATGTTGTTGTTTTGCAGCCTGAAATAAAGACAGACACTGTCTTTGTTTTATTCAGCTGTATTTACTCTGTGCAACTTATAACATCCAAGTGAAAGATATACCAACACCAACATGTCAGACAAAAAAAAAAAAAACAGAATCACTGAGTTGGAAAAAGGATCACCCCCCTCCTACAAATGACTGTTAAACTCAATCAGGTGTAGCTAATCACCTTCTCAATGGCACACAAAGCCATTTAACTTTCAACTGTGGTCAGCTGTGGTCAATTTGATCAATTCAGCATGAAAAGAGCTTTCCTGGAGCATTTCAGTCCTTGGTAGTGCAACTGAAGAAAACAATCAACTATGGGTGGCAAGGCACTGTCAAAAGATCTCCGGGATAGTTGTGGACAGGCACAAATCAGGAGATTTGACAAAAATTTCAAAGGCTTTATCAATGCCTAGAAGCACAGTGAAGTCTGTTATTAAGAAGTGGAAGGTATTTGGTACAACACAGACCCTCCCTGGATCAGGACGTCGCTCCAAACTGGATGAAAGAGCCAGGAGGAAACTGGTCAGAGAGGCGACTAAGAGGCTCCAAGTTTCCTTAAAGCATAGTGTGTGTTGCAACTCTTTGATCTCAGCATGATGAGCAAAGCGTTTCGATCAAATTATTCCTTAGTCCAACGATGAGTAATTCACATTACAAAAGAAAGAATGAGAGACATAAAAAAAACGATCCGAACAGTTGATGGGCACCATTGACTTCCATAGTATTTTTTTTTCCTACTATGGAAGTCAATGGTGCCCATTAACTGTTCGGATTCTAACATTGTTCAAAATATCTTCTTTTGGGTTTGGAACAAGTGGAGGAAATTATGACAGAATTTTCATTCTGGAAGTGAACTACTCCTTTAAGTCAAACATTCTAATGTTGAAAAGCCAAACCTAAAAAAAAACACAAGACTTTTGCAATCACTACTCAATAAGTGCAGTACATGAATGACAGAAATGGCAGAGACCCAAGTATGAAATCAGCATGGCTCAACTCAACATGTTCTAAAGCCTGTATTTACACTGCATACAATTTACACATACACTTCCCTTCTAAATTAACTAAGGTTTGAATATAAGCAAATGCTGCTTTGTAAACCATTCAAGTATGGTAATGAATTGAACCAAAAAATGCAGCCATGTTGTAATTAAGTGCACCACTCTGCTTCAAATATATGGGACGGGTTGCAGCAGTCTCCTCCAATATTTAGATAAAAAAGTCAATAAGAAAACATGCCATTTTAAGTTCTTGAAAAACAACATGGCAATTTAACTTTCCAAGTCGAGTCTTCAAATGACCCTGTGAACATGAGCCATGGTTTCCACTGACCCCCCAAAAAAAATTACAAGTGCAATCAAGTATGCCAGTCAACACAAAGCTCTTCTCGTGCCAAAACCGTGGGGTCACTGACACCCCAACAGTGGGCCACTGGACATTGCCCACCCCTCTGTCCCAAAGCTGGACTTAATTCAACAATTCAGGCAGCTTTGGCCGCCTCCACAAAGCCTGTGTCCACTTCCATGATGGACACCAGGTTGAGGGCGTATCAAAACAATAATAAACGGGGTGGGCTTTGAACGTTCACTGGATGCTAGCGCTCCATCTGCATTCTCACAGTAGAAGCCAAGGGTCATCTCAGCTTGGCTGGCCGATGTCTACCCGAGAGAGACAAAAACAATGGGCTGAACAGGGAGGGTGACATCAAGAGACTGTTTGCCACCCGATTTGTGTACGTCCAGAGGACAATGAGCAAAGAAAAGCACTGAGACTCTTTGTCTGTGGTTATGTCACTGCTGTTCTGCCACCATGCCCAGTAGAAAAAACACTTTCCTTCTTCCTCAGGGCAAATTTCTCACTCACTATACGATGTTCTCCAGTAAACATTTCCATCTGAATTAAAATTACATTAAAGCCTGGGATAAAATTTGTGAATATGGTTATTCAGTCAAATTCATATGCATCAAGACTATCCACTGACAAGTACTTCAAATTTAAAGGGGTCATATAATGCTACATGCACTTTTACAAGTTGTTTGAACTGAAATGTGTGTAGGCAGTGTGTGTACACAACCACCCTAAAATGATAAAAATCCACCCAGTGGTTTTTTGTTAATCTACTAAAATCTTTACCCCTTTCTCAAATCAAGCCGATCTCAGATGCCTGTCTGTGTGACGTCACACAGACAGGCCCCTCCCACGACAGTTTGATTGACAGTAGTGTTTCAGCACAGACTGGACTGGTGCTCTGAAAAGAGCTGTTTTTGACAGGGTAAAAAAGGTGTTTTTTACACTACCATTGAGAAATTTTAACCAAACTATGTTACAGACTTTTCATTAAGACCCTAAAGAATCATATCAACTTGTGGAAAATGGGCATCCTATGACCCCTTTAAACTATGGCAATGACAGGGAAAAACATTCACGGCGATGACCGGTCATTTGGTCTCTTCAACTTTCAGATTTGGAAAGATGCAGGTAAAAAAATGAAATTTTCATTGACCCCTTTTCAGTTAGTAAACATTATGACCTTTTTTTATGGGCGGAGCTTAGGTGGAGGCAGAAAGATTCCCCTGACTGCTTCACTAACGCTAGTTAGCAAGTCTTGTTTGCTTGTTTTTTAACTGAATATGTAATGTCACTCACTGTCCGGGATTGTGATTGTTATTTGAAAATGTTAACTTTAATGGAAGGAACCAGATTGGCTGACTCGTACACACTCACTCAATGGACAATCTGACAGGAGTGGCCTGACACACCTACCAGATAGAGAAACCGAGCGTGTATAGTAAATAGAAACTGAGGGCATATAAATCTTTAGATGCCTAGAACTACTGTATGTATTCACAGTGGCAATTGTAAGCAAATGCAACTACTTGAACACACACCTGACATATAACATTTGCCTTCACTGTTCCCTCTCTCAATTGCACTTATGGCAACTGTAGAAAGTGAGACGACACAAATGGTTTCCTTTATGTTTAGCCTCTGGTCGTTAGTTAACTTGTTTCCCAATTTCTGATTAGGTGGGCATGCATGAGAAATCTTTAGACTCGTAACCAAACCATAATCCATACCAACAAAAGACAATAGTTTATTTAACCTTAACTGATATGAAGTGTGCGCTGCAAACGCGAGCATTTTTGATGATCGTTCCAGTCCAGTCCGCTCGTTTTATTGCTTTTAACCACAGCTGTCGTCGGTTTTTTGTCTGGCAATGGCAGCAGGTATGCAATAAAATTTCAAATTGGAGCCTGTACTCCATTGATTCTGTCACTCAACAACACAACCAGATGACATTTTAAGCTCCTTATGTAGCCAACTCTGTGCTGGTTTGTATATATATAGCTGCCTCCAGTTATCCCTTTGTTTTGCCTCCAGCTCATGCTGTGATGTAATTGTGACGTTGGCACTAAAAAGGTCTATAGTACAGCAGAAACACCTGTGTGCATTTATGATTTAACAATCACTTTGCTCTGACCCACTGATATTCTCACATTGCCCTGATCCCTCATGACCCAAACACACTTACACACACAGTCTACCAACATGCCACCAGAAACGAGCTCTTTTTCCATTAGCTTGAAAACCAGATTAAAACAGGTCAGCAGGATATTTAGCTGATTCACTTTCATCAATTTTAAGAACATTTCCTTTGAGATCAGTAAAAGGAAAATTGCTCTCCTGCAGAAATATATCAAAAACGCAATCTCATTTATATCTCAGAATGTAAATTTCAGCTGTCATGAAAAAGGGCTGCAAGTTTTAGCTAAAAAAACATATTAGCTATTTTGACAAGTATTACAATTGCGTGCGGCTTGATCTTTGATATGATCATTTATGATTATTTGCTAATTTTTACATTTTGTACTTGTATAGTATAGTAATATATTATATAATGTATAGTAAAATAATACAAATTATAATAATCCTGAATATTAACATCATTATACAACAGTAATATTTAATATTTGGTCCAGTGGTCCAGTTGCAGAAAACTGAAGGAAGACCTTTGACCATATTACAGTATAATATATACTGTATATATATATTATAATACATACAGTATATATTCTACTAATATATATATATATAGGTGGGTTTAGGCTATTCTTTCTCAGGTCAGCATGTTCAGCTGCCAGGAGGTTCGTTTGCTTACACTCGTCGGGAGCCGCTAGGTGTGTGTGTGGGAATAGGAGCCTGGAACTACCCCTTCCAGATTGCAGCCTGGAAATCTGCCCCTGCCAATATATATATATATATATATATATATATATATATAAGTTGTATACATTTAAATTGTACATTGTACATTAAAAGTAACAAAGCACAAAGCTTATATTGTGATTATAGGATGGGATGCACACTACAATGTTTAGTGAAGTTTTGTTCACTCATCAGCTGAAAACAGTATAGACTAAAAGATTTCGGTTCATCAAAAAGAAGATGTATGAAATGAAGCCATGTTCTAGGCACCCAATCTATCTAGGAGAAATGCAGTATATTCGAGCACCGTCATCTGATGGACAATTGGCAGACACTGAAGTCACATGATTTGAAAAGGCCTTGGGGAGGTCTTGTCACGTCCCCGCAGAATAAACGCTGCAGTGGTACACAGTGGGGTCACTATAGATTCAGCTTGACGTCAGTGGCACTGACAGGATCGCAGCTCAGTCAGAGAGGAAAATTGTTCCTCCCACCACAACAGAGTCACACGGATTCTGCGTTGTGACTTGTTTGGACTGTCCTGTTTTTTTCTTCACAGCTATCTGGGCTGCTCCTGCATGTTGGCAAGAACTAGAGCATGCTACACTCCTGCAAATTGGCCTGATCAGAAGTGAAATTGACCCAAACCTCTGGAAGGAACTTCCTCCGAGTGCAGCCCTTGATGCAGATTGATGCACAATGCTGCTCCCGCTCATTACGGGAGCAATCTGGCTTTAATTTAATGCCTCCTCTGGGTTTAAGAGAGCGCTCTGCAGGTCATAAAGGCAGCGAAAGCATCGGAGGAAACCCGAACTTCAAATTTTCCATGTGACCCTAACTCTACAAGAATCTCCCTTTAACTTTCACCCAAGTCATTCCCAAGGGTTTTCTTCAGTTCAGCTGGAAGAAAGTCTCCATTTACTGAAATCACTGAGGGCAGGACTAGGGATAATATCAGCCATGACTTCTAACTCCTCTGTAAGACACCTGGATGTGGGAAAAATTGAGTTTCTGGTAGCCTCCTGCAGTGAGCTTGTAAATCGGAAATATAAGCTTTCCCAGTGAACAACGAAATGGGCTCCGCCTGTTCACAAGGAACATAAGTATGACCTTTTGAGCTCCTTGAGGAGTTGACAGATGAAGTTAATAAGCTGAGAAGGGGAAAGGATTTGTGTAGAAACATAAGGCCTCATGAATGGAAACTATAACTTGGCTGTAACTTAACAAGAATGTAACAAAAAGGCAAACTAGGAAACTTTCAAACAGAAATGGATGTTTTACAATTGGAAGAGAGGCAAAAAAAGTTCTTTAATGACTGGGATGAAGCCTTATATTAGTCACTGTTGTGATTCAAAAAGAAGTGCAAGGGGGAATTCTGACTAGGAAAAAAAACTCAAACTGGAAAACAACACAGGGAATCCCTTTGGTCCAGTTAATAACGTTTCTAGGCAATCTGGAAATGGTATAATCCATGTGTCAACTCCTTTTCTCGTAGGAAAGAGTTCTGATTCTCATTTACTGAGAGTGCGAATGCACACATTTACACAACCGGAAAATTTTCTTTTTCATTTTTTTGTTTGTTTGTTTGTTTTTTTTGGAAAGGAATTCATTCTTTTATTCAGCAAGGAGACAAATGAAAAGCAGTTATTTTAAATTGTAATAATATTTTACAATGTTACTGTTTTACTGTAGTTTTGATCAAATACAGTGCACAGCATAAATGAGTACACCCCCTCTGAAACTTAACAAATTCAGCAATTACTCTTTGCTTAGAATGTTATGGTGTTTTAGAGATATAATATTCCAGCAAGTCTGCTTGATCAGTTACCAAAGAAGAATGTTAAAATTATTCAAGAAAATACAATTTTCATATCAAAGTGATAAAATGTTGTTGCAAAAATGAGTACACCCTCCTGAAAGTTACTAAATAAAACAAAAAAAAACAAAAAAATTCTGTTGTAAGGTTAAGGCAAGTATTGATCAACAGGTAAGTATGTTGAACCAAAACTGTTAAAGTTTCTATGAATTATATTAGTGATCATTAAGAAAATACATCTTTTAGATTTAATCAGAGGGGGTGTACTCATTTATGCTGTGCATTGTAAATGCAGCCTTGGTTAAACAAACAAACAAACAAACAGTAGTGTACTGTACTTACACATTTACTTTTTTTCTAAATTTAAGATTAAAAATGCACCTAATCCAAGCATTTAGGGTATATTAATTATATACTTGTGCTAATATATATATAGACTTCAGATGCAAAACCCTCTAAGTCCGTCTAAGATTTTTTTTCTTTTAAATTAGCATTTTATCAGGCTCATATGTTTAGGTTCAGTAATTTCACTTTAATGGCAAATAAAATGTTATTAGTCAGTTATTGAATGTCTTGTTTTCAAAAATGTCCAATGTTATTTTCATAGGAGCCTGATAAAAATGCTAATTTAAAAGGAAAACCTCAGACGGACTTTGAGGTTTTTGCATCTGAAGTTTTCTACACACACACACACACATATATACATACATATATATATATATACACATACATACATAAATATATTTTATACTATATTTACCTGCATAAAAAAAGTAATCGTCTAAGTTATTGTCAAAAACACACAACAAATGTCAGTAAGTTTGTGTCCATGCATTACAATCAGTCTTGTACAGTCATTATTCACCGTCAGCTCATAAAAGGTGTTGGCATTTATGAGCCATGACTTATAGAGTGGTATTGCTCAATGCTCATATGCAGCCTTTAAATGTTGCACTGCTGAGATCATGTCAAACAGGTTTCATATATATTTAAGGAGAACATATAAAATTTCCATATGAAGAGTGCTGTTTGTCTCCATACCAATACCAGAACACTATTCATGAAATGGAATTCACAACCCATTTGACTTCCATACTTGTGCTAATATCTAGTATGTGCAATGCAATGAACCAAATGTGCTGTTTAAATATGTGGAAGCAGGTTCAATACCAGGAGCTCGTCCATGCTGGTCTGGCATTTTTCCAGATTGATGCGTTTGATGGCGACCTTCTCCTTCCTGGGCACACAGTAGGCAGCCTGGACCACAGCCGTAGCTCCGCTTCCTACAATACACAAGAATGCACGTTAAACTGAGTACATCAGGAGCTGCATGGGACATGAAGTCAGGACAAATAGAAGAATGAAGAGGAACAAAACCCTCCTGAACACCCCAGACACCTCAAACCGTAATCCACAAAACATTACATCTATGGCTTAAAGTGACTAAATATGTAAAGTAAATATATACTAGCATTTTTTCCCAAAAGTTCACTTCTAATGTCGACTTAAAATATGCATTTTGAAAAAAAAAAGTGTTCTCATGTATTTGTCAAATTTAATAGTAACTTTAATGAGGTTATAACATAACTCTCTTACACTTACAAGACAAAGAAATTATAGTAAAAAGTTACTATGTCAAGAGGAGGAAATAAAAATCTGACAACAATGCAAACTAATGGCATAAATAATAAAAAATAATTGAATGAAGATAATATAAAAAGTAAAATTAAATAATTTATAATCATTCATAATTTCATTATTATTATTATTATTTTTATTATATATTATATTAAACATTTTATATTTTACTGTTGCATGAATGACAAATGAGTATTACTGTGAAAATTACATTTTAAAATCATTAATTATAATAATAATAATAACTTATTTTCATAATGCTATGCTATATTAAAATGGTTATACTTGTTAATAAAAATGTTATATTTGTATGGATGATGAATGACTATTACTGTCAAAAAAGTAAAAATATAAAAAACATTATAATTAATTTTCCAATCAATAACAATAATAACTATTATTATTATTACTACTTCTACTACTATATTCATAATGCTGTTATATTAAAAGAAGTTATACTTTATTGCTGCATGAATGACAAATTATTATTACTCTGTCAAAAAGCAGAAAAAAGCAGGTTCTGCATATTGGTTTTCGGTAGGCCTGTCGCAATAATCAATATATCGACTTATCGCGCAATATATGTACATGACCGCAATCATTTTCGGACACTTTAACATAAAAAATAATTGCTCATTAAACAATGACATTTATCTCCAGCCATATCACTTACTCCCTGGGAAAGTGCTGGAGAAGAGCTGACAACTAAATGCTAAATGAAAACATTCCTCTGTCACTGCAGTTTTGGACATTCATGAGTGAAGACTATTAAATCCTAACAGAATATAAATCAAAGGATTTGAGCTATACTTGGCTTTCAACTTTACTGCTGAGGTTAATCTCCATAGTGCATTAATTAGGTTCTGCTCATGGCACCACAGACTGGCACCAGAGAGAAAGCAGACAAGACATATCTGGAGACGGTTATCCTAGAGAACGCAAGGTCATCCTGGTCCACACATCCTGAATAATAGAAGACAAGACTCTACGGGGGCCAAGGCCCTCGTAAATCAGCGTGCACCTACTGTATGTTTCCACTGCGAGCAGAATATTAATGACATATTATTGTGCTGATATGAGGCAGAGGGAATTTTTTTAATCATCTTTAATCATCCAGCCGAACGCCGTATGGCCTAATAATAACAAAGTCCTCATTGTTTAGCGTTTTGATTGCAGCAACAGGGCACCATGGATACTTTGGATAGAAAAAAAAAATTTGACAACAACTCTCTTTTTCATTTAAAATCTACAGTGTTGGACAGGCCTGACTAGTTAGTGTACAGCCAAATACAGTCATTGAAGAATCTGCAGTGGTATGGCTAGAATGTTATCAAAATGTGCTGACAGCAATCCCATTAATCACATCCTGGCCTGTATGCTATGGCCTGCAGCAGGATGTTGGTCCCCCGTACGGCCCTCAGAGTGTCAGCTGTGAGCAACAGGTCAACCGGGATGTTCAGTGTTCATCAATAAGAATCTAGAGCTATATTTAAGACCCTATGCCATACATAAGGGAGAGCAGCTCACCAGATGGAAAAAAGATTGAGTTGCCTGAGCCAACAGCATGAGTTTAAATGTAAATTCCTACTGTGAAACAAACAATCAGTTGTCAAGGATGATTCGGAGAAGATTGTACTAAAGTTGCCCATGCATGTGCCAAAAGAACATTTTTTAGCTGAAAACAAAAAGACCAAGAAAAACAAAGACAGTGAGAATATACACATATATAAAGCCTGTAATTTTTATGTATTTATTTTCTTTGCAAAATATCAGTACCAAATCGATTATCGAGAGTATATTAGAGTTGTTTTTCTTATGATCAGCATGGTCGATATGGGATATTTAAATGTGCACAATCATTTTCTTTATTTTTACATTAAGATTATCTTTGCTGTCATCTAATGCTCACTTAAAAATTATTTTCGTTATGTTTAATTTTTTTATTTATTCAGGTAAAATATAGAATTGTAGTTGAGCCCAAAACAAAGATGAAAATACATTTCAAAACTGATCATGTACTTATAGTGTAACAAAAGATTCCTATTTCAGATATACTGTATGCTGTTCTTTTGAACTTTCTGTTCATCATAGAATCCTGAAAACAAATGTATCATGGTTTCCACAAAAATATTAAGCAGCAAAAGCTTTAAGTTTTAAACACTGATAATAATAATAAATGTTTTTTTAGCACCAAATCAGCCTATATTAAATGATTTCTGAAGGATCATGTGACACTGAAGACTGGAGTAATGGCTACTGAAAAATTAGCTTTGCATCACAGGAATAAATGACATTTTAAAATATATCAAAATGGAAAACAGATATTTTAGTTTGTAAGAAAATTTTACAATATTACAGTTTTTACTGTATGTTTGTTCAAATAAATGCAATCTTTGTGAGCATAAGAGCCTTTTTTTAACATTAAACATTTTTACTGTCCCCAAACGGTTAGTGTCTATCAAACGTTTAAATAACTAATCTTGTTTTTACCGCTCTCAGACTGTTGAGTGCTTCTTAACTTGCTTCTGTCTCTAATAAACGCGTCGAATATGTCACACAAAAGGAAGTAATACAACAGCAAATGCAGCCTAGCAACCCAATAACAAACATAATAAAGCCTTGATACTTCATTATATAAATGCAATAAAGTACTGATAACATCCATGACGTGAACATCAAAGACATACTTTCATCTGGTCAGTTATTAGCTGTCAATATTGCAGGTGTGTTGGGTACAATAAGTGCTGTTGTCTTGTTAAGAGTTCTCAAGGTTCACAGACTGAAATGAAAATACTGCAAAAGAGTCGTCTCTATGCACATCTGCACCACAGCAACAGGATTTTATGGAGGCCTGTTACTGGTTTCTGAATTGAATCATTCAATATTATGTTACCAGGTTACAGCATTAGAAAAATTAAATAAAGAACCACCAACTGATGCTGTGTGGTAGATTCCTTGATTATCCACAGAACTGTCCACTTTTAATTAAGATTTTTGATTCATTCGGTTAGCCAAATGTTTACAGAGAAAAATTATATAAACGTACCTGACCACACGTGCCTGGAGACTGAAAAATACTTAATGTATCTAGGGATGCACCGAAATGAAAATTCTTGGCCGAAGCCGAAACCGAACAAAATGAAACACTGGGCCGAAGGCCGAATACCGAACATGGTTTTTCGAGTTTTTTTCCCCATGTATTTTGCCAAATTTTTTCACCACTGCATAAATTAAATAGCCAAAATGTGCTTTTTACTGTTTTGTCTTGCTTTTCAAAGAAAAAAATCAATTACAAAACAACAATTTAAAAATATTTAACAATGAACATTTTAACATTCTAGCAGACACTATGCCAACAAAGCACAATTTAACTTAAAATTAATAAGTTAGTAAAATAATATTTTTTGGCC